TTTCACCTTCCTATTATCTTCCTTCCCCTTTCCTAACTTCCAATATCTTCTCTTACCTTTTTTTTCCCTCCCATTACCTTCCTTTATTCTCCTACTCTTTCCTTATTCTCATCTTTCTTCCCTAATCCTTCTCTCATATTCTTCTCCTCCTCCCCTCTTTCTTATCCTTATCCCCTTTTCTTATCTTTTCCTTTCTCTAATCACCCTCCCCCTTCCCATTCCCCTCCCCCTTTCCATTAGCACCTTCCCACTTCTATTATACACCTCCCCTTTCCCTTATCCTCTTCTCCCTTCACTTATCCTCTTCCCCTTCCATAACCTCCACCCATACCTCTAGCTACCTTTCCCCTCACATGTCCTCGATCCTCAGCCTTCACTTTCCCTTCTCCCCCATTCTCTTCCCTTATATCCCTACTCTTCCCTTATCCTCTTCCCCCTTCCCTTATCCTGTTCCACCATATTTTCTCCTCCCTCTCCTTCAGTTATCCTCCTTCCCCTTTCATCATTTTCCTTCCTCTTTCGTTATTCTCCTCCTCTTCCCTTTCCCCTACTCGCTCTTCCTCATCCTCCCCATTCCCCTTCCGTAACACCCCCCCCCCTCAGGTAGAGTTACCATCACTCGGGCCACAACAAACAACAAACAAAAGGTGGAGACAAAAAGAGAGTAAAACCCATCACTTCCGCTCTTTGTTGTGTGTATTGAAATGTGAGACAGTGAGGTAACGTTTATGTGTGTGTTGGTTGGTGGAGTTTCTGTATACCCGCTTCCCCCTCCCCCCCCCCTCTCTCTCCTCCTCCTCCTCCTCTCTCTCTCTCTCTTCTCCACTCTCTCTCTCTCTCTCTCTCTCTCTCCTCTCCTCTCTCTCTCTCTCTCTCTCTCTCTCTCTCTCTCTCTCTCTCTCTCTCTCTCTCTCTCTCTCCCTCTCCCTCTCTCTCTCTCTCTCTCTCTCTCTCTCTCTCTCTCTCTCTCTCTCTCTCTCTCTCTCTCTCTCTCTCTCTCTCTCTCTCTCTCTCTCTCTCTCTCTCTCTCTCTCTCTCTCTCTCTCTCTCTCTCTCTCTCTCTCTCTCTCTCTCTCTCTCTCTCTCTCTCTCTCTCTCTCTCCTCTCTCTCTCTCTCTCTCTCTCTCTCTCTCTCTTTCTCCTTAACTACTCTTGGTCGAGTGGTTAAGGGATCCTGTACATCGGTTGCATTGCTTCTGGCAGTATGGGTTCGAGTCACTTCTGGGGTGTGAGTTTTCAGTTGCATATATGCCTGGAGACCGTTCAGGCTTGTTCGCATTTGTGTTCCTCACGTGTGCCCCAAAGAATAAGGTGGGGATTACGAGATGACAAGAGAGGGGGTAATGGTGGGGAAGGACGAGGGGACGGGGGAGTTTGTGATGGTAGGGACGAGGGAATGGGGGAATGGAGAATGGTGGGGAGGACTAAGGGGTCAGGGGAGTGGGGCATAGTGGGAAGGAAGAGGAGATGGTGAAGTGGGGCATGGTGGGGAGGACGAGGGGACAGTGGAGTGGGGAATGGTTGGAAGGCCGAGGAGATGGGTGAGGGGGGTGGAATGGTGGGGATGACTGGGGGACAGGGAAGGTTTCTGTAGCTCAGCAATGCTCACGTGTTGCTGAGCCACAGCAACGCGTGGCCGGGTATTGCTAGTAAATATATAAAAATGTAAATGTTCGTTTGTTCAAAATCGCTAATCTCCGAAAGTTCTTCGCCAATTGTTTTGAATTTTTTACACAACTTTCCATTCACATCCGAGCGAGTTTTCATATACATACTCTATAGCTGTCACGTCTGAGACGGATTTTTTGATTGACACAACATTGCATTCAAATAGATGTGTGTTTTTATATTCCTACTATATACATGCCTCACCTGTGACAGGAAAAGACTTTTTTTTTTAAACAGCGCCATCTTTTGGATTTAAAAGCAGCACACGCTGTAATCGCCGAAAGTTCTTCGCTGATTGCTTTGAAGTTTTGACAATACTTTCCATTCGAATACGCACGTGTTTTTATGTACCTACTATATAGATGCTACTCCTGTGACAGGTAAAAACATGCAGTTTTTTTAAGAAATGCACTCACTATCTGTTGCACATAATAGCAACACACTCTATACGAAATATGGTTCGATTCCATTTCAATGTTTCTGATTGCACTGATAAAATGAATTTTCTTAGATTCATTTCGTGAATATAGTTTATTTTTATATTTTTTCATTTTATCATTTCTTTTTTTTAACTGTTTTTTGTATATTTCAATGATAGGAACATCAGATCATATGATGTTCCCAAGTATCTGATTGGAACATCAGATTATTTTGAAATGTATTGTACGAGGGAGTGGGAGTGGGGGATGGTGGGGAGGACGAAGGGACATTGGAGGGCACAATGGTGGGGAGTATGAGGGGACGAGGGAGTTGGGGATGGTGGGGACGATGGGACAGGGGATTGGGGGATGGTGTGGAGGACGAGGGAACAGGGGAGGGGTGAATGGCAAGGAGGACGAGGGGATGGGGGAGTGGGAGATGGTGGGAAGGATGAGGGGACTGTGGAGTAGGGTATGGTTAGAAGGACGAGGGGTCGCTGGAGTGGGGAATGGTGGAGAGGACGAGGGGACGGGGGAGGTGGAGAGTAGTTGGGAGGACTAGGGGCCGGGGGAGGGGGGGAATACTGGGGAGGACTGGGAGACAGGGAAAAGTTGCTGTGGTTCAGCAATGCACATGTGTTCCTGAGCCACAGCAACGCGTGGCCGGGTACAGTTAGTATTACAAATTATTATTGTAGTATTACAAAATTAGTATTACAAAAAGTTACACGTTAACTCTGAGATTCTTTTAATGTTCTAGTCATGAGTGAATAGTTGTGTACATTACTACAAGAACAAACTAACTTATAAATGCTTTATACTCCTAAGATTTCCCAACATCGGAATAAAGTGCCCTTATCCTAACCTATCAGACAACCCAAAACAGAAAACGGGGCTGTATGTCAATTTCGCGAGCCGCTACCATTTTCTAATACGACGATTTTTGTCCTTAGGTAGAGTATGCGTCACAACGCAGCGGTCTCTTAGGAGGACGGGTTGGTGTCAGTCCCAGAGTCACTCAGGCCTGGCGACTCGCAATGTCTTAACGACACGTTGTCGCTCAGGGGCGATGGCTTCTGCACACTCTCCTGATTATTTTAATATTTCATGCAATTATTGGACCAGATATTGGAGTGCTCAGGCAAGCAAACGCCTCGGTTCTTGAAGATGTATTCGCTCCTCGATACAACTTATGATTTAGTAGAGTTCTTCCTCTTCAACATCATATACCTTGACTACATATCCCTTCCAAGTGCTGTATAGTGATATTGGCTTAGGGCTCTCTCCAGATAATCACCTTACCTTAAGCCACTCCCTGTCTTAGGGGCACCAGCCTCCTGCGTCACGCTCGACTTCACTTCAACAAGACGTCGAGGATTATCATCTTAGTGACTTGGATAACCTTCTCCGGTCAACTTCACCCTCAGTCAATGCAACTGTGACCTCTCATGGCATCAATAAAGCTGCCGTCTAATGCAACATTCGCCAAGAAGCATCCTGCAATCCAGAAGTTCCTTCGTCTCATTCACTGGTTTTCATTAATGGTTCCAGTAGCTATCTACACTTCTCAGAGAGGATGTCTGTCTGTTCAAAGTTGGAACCCAGACGCTTTGGTCGAGCCTCACTCAAACTGGTGGAGGGAATGGTCTGGGGTACGGGATGAACATAGGCTAGTCGGGGTCGCCAGACTTAAAAACGGAACAGAGTGCCAGGGTCACATTCAGACCTTCGCGACGGTTTTTGGCACTGGTCTAACCCTCTAAATAGTTTGAAAACACAAAACATATTCAATAAATTATTTTTCTTATAATAATACGCAACATTATTCACTGATCTCGGAAAAATTAACAGAAATTTCCTGCTTTTGATAATTCTTCCGTACTCGCATAGAGCAGATGATTCTTCCGCAGCTTGCAAGGTTTCTCCTGCAACACTCCTTTAGCAGTGTACCGGGTAACTATTATTTTGTTAATATTTAACACGACTAAGCTCCTGTTACTGGCCACCTTCCCCCCCCTCACATTAGACAATTGCATATTTAATAAGAAAGACAGAGAGACAGAGACGGCAACAGAGAGAGGCAGAGACAGATGGATGGATTGATGGATGAATGGATGTATAGATAGATGGATAGGTGGATGGATAGAGGGATAGATTGATGGATATATTAATGGATAGATGTACAGATGGATGCATTGATGGATAGATGTACAGATGGATGGATTGATGGATTGATGGATAGAAGGATTGATAGATTGATGGATAGATGGATTGATGTATTGATAGAAAATGGATGGATTGATCGATAGATATACAGATGAATGGATTGATGGATTGATGGATAGATGGATTGATGTATTATAGATGAATAGATAAATGAAAAGATAGAAGAGTTAACTGATAGATGCATAGAAAACAAGATGAATAGATAGAATTGTAAATATTGTTATTATTAACGTCCCTCCTAAATAAATAAGCTCGCCAGAGGGAGGATGCTGTGTATTAAATCTATATATTTAAACTACACTTATAATTTATAACAGCTTATCTGTTTATATGAAGGAGATAGTGCAGCTTCTCTCCTGCAGCGGCTCAACAACTGTGCAACTCATTCATGTCAGGTTATGAGTGCTGCTCTCACACAACAATGAGTAAGACCCTGACAGGGATGTACTCATAGACCTCCTAGAATGTCTAAATTTGGAATCTTATAATAAACTAGCTGTACCCGGCCATGCGTTGCTGTGACTCAACAGAAGCACCCACAGCATAACAATATTAACACACACACACAGCCACGGCATCAGTAGCATCCGGACCCAACACAACAGTAGCCACCCACAGCCACTGAAACAGTAGCACCCTTAGGAACCACAACAGTAGCCACCCACAGCCACTGAAACAGTAGCACCCTTAGGAACCACAACAGTAGCCACCCACAGCCACTGAAACAGTAGCCCCTACAGGAACCACAACAGTAGCACCCTCAGGAACCACAACAATAGCACCGTCAGGAACCACAACAGTAGCACCCTCAGGAACCACAACAGTAGCACCCACAGGAACCACAACAGTAGCACCCTCAGGAACCACAACAGTAGCACCCTCAGGAACCACAACAGTAGCACCCACAGGAACCACAACAGTAGCACCCTCAGGAACCACAACAGTAGCACCCTCAGGAACCACAACAGTAACACCCACAGGAACCACAACAGTAGCACCCTCAGGAACCACAACAGTAGCACCCACAGGAACCACAACAGTAGCACCCTCAGGAACCACAACAGTAGCACCCTCAGGAACCACAACAGTAGCACCCTCAGGAACCACAACAGTAGCACTCTCAGGAACCACAACAGTAGCACTCTCAGGAACCACAACAGTAGCACTCTCAGGAACCACAACAGTAGCACCCACAGGAACCACAACAGTAGCACCCTCAGGAACCACAACAGTAGCACCCTCAGGAACCACAACAGTAGCACCCTCAGGAACCACAACAGTAGCACTCTCAGGAACCACAACAGTAGCACCCACAGGAACCACAACAGTAGCACCCTCAGGAACCACAACAGTAGCACTCTCAGGAACCACAACAGTAGCACTCTCAGGAACCACAACAGTAGCACTCTCAGGAACCACAACAGTAGCACCCACAGGAACCACAACAGTAGCACTCTCAGGAACCACAACAGTAGCACCCTCAGGAACCACAACAGTAGCACTCTCAGGAACCACAACAGTAGCACTCTCAGGAACCACAACAGTAGCACTCTCAGGAACCACAACAGTAGCACCCACAGGAACCACAACAGTAGCACCCTCAGGAACCACAACAGTAGCACCCTCAGGAACCACAACAGTAGCACTCTCAGGAACCACAACAGTAGCACCCTCAGGAACCACAACAGTAGCACCCACAGGAACCACAACAGTAGCACTCTCAGGAACCACAACAGTAGCACTCTCAGGAACCACAACAGTAGCACCCTCAGGAACCACAACAGTAGCACTCTCAGGAACCACAACAGTAGCACTCTCAGGAACCACAACAGTAGCACTCTCAGGAACCACAACAGTAGCACCCTCAGGAACCACAACAGTAGCACTCTCAGGAACCACAACAGTAGCACCCACAGGAACCACAACAGTAGCACCCTCAGGAACCACAACAGTAGCACCCACAGGAACCACAACAGTAGCACCCTCAGGAACCACAACAGTAGCACCCTCAGGAACCACAACAGTAGCACCCTCAGGAACCACAACAGTAGCACTCTCAGGAACCACAACAGTAGCACCCTCAGGAACCACAACAGTAGCACCCTCAGGAACCACAACAGTAGCACTCTCAGGAACCACAACAGTAGCACCCACAGGAACCACAACAGTAGCACCCTCAGGAACCACAACAGTAGCACCCTCAGGAACCACAACAGTAGCACTCTCAGGAACCACAACAGTAGCACCCACAGGAACCACAACAATAGCACCCTCAGGAACCACAACAGTAGCACCCTCAGGAACCACAACAGTAGCACCCTCAGGAACCACAACAGTAACACTCTCAGGAACCACAACAGTAGCACCCTCAGGAACCACAACAGTAGCACTCTCAGGAACCACAACAGTAGCACCCTCAGGAACCACAACAGTAGCACTCTCAGGAACCACAACAGTAGCACCCACAGGAACCACAACAATAGCACCCTCAGGAACCACAACAGTAGCACCCTCAGGAACCACAACAGTAGCACCCTCAGGAACCACAACAGTAGCACTCTCAGGAACCACAACAGTAGCACCCACAGGAACCACAACAATAGCACCCTCAGGAACCACAACAGTAGCACCCACAGCCACCACAACAATAGCACCCACATCCTCAGTAACACAGTAACACACAGCCACGGCAACAAAAGGTCCCACAGCCACAGCAACAGTAGACGCAGGAACATCTCCAGATCCAAAATATACCAATAAGCTGAACGTATTTCAGGAGGAGCCGTAAAGAGCGGTGTGGCCTCCACACAAACAATAAGAGGCGCCCCCCACTATGACAGCCACGGGACAGCCATTCAGGACACTTCACGGGCAGAAAACAGCACGTAAACAGGACGGAGAAATCAGCCCGTAAAATCTTGCAGTGGAACGATCAGTTGATCAAACACCAGACTCCTTCATGACATCTTCCACAAAGACGGAATTGTTATTGCACTGTAAAAATAAACACTTTTGACGAAATTATAACAAACTATTTCCCAGCTGGGAAAAGTTCATACGGCTCGAAAGTCCAAATACACAGGGGAAATGAGATAATGGTAAAGTCCAACATACCGTGCCCTCAGGAGATGGTCTTGGGAATGACACAATTATACTCAACGACATTTATAAATCTTCGGATCTAGATTCACGAAGCGCCATGTATTTCTTCTTAAATATCTGTGCTACGAAGGTTCATAAATACTGGGTAAGAAGAGCTCTACAATTCAGGATGGTGTTCGCACGCAGTTATAAGCAATTTTGATGTTTACTTGTCTAGATAGATGTCACTGAGGCTTTTCGTTTGGCCAATAAGAGAGAAGGTAACATCATCCATCTTACTGTCCAAGTCAATTACGATGCTGGGGTCATTGGTCGTCACTTGCCCCTGTTTTATGTCGTATTTTCTTATATAATTAGTTTTTTGTGTGTATTTCCAAGTTATACAGTCATCCATCTGTTCAAAACAAATATATTACATTTTTATATTACAGTATATATTACAGTAAACAAATATATTACATTTTTATATTACAGTAAATAAATATATTACATTTTTATATTACAATATATATTACAGTAAACAAATATATTACATTTTTATATTACAATATATATTACAGTAAACAAATATATTACATTTTTATATTACAGTAAATAAATATATTACATTTTTATATTACAATATATATTACAGTAAACAAATATATTACATTTTTATATTACAATATATATTACAGTAAACAAATATATTACATTTTTTCTTACATACGCAATTGTAAAAGATATTGCCTGGCTCGTTGGCTCCGAGTAAACGGACGTCAAGAAACCGTCATTAAAAAATGTATAACTTTGCTCTCTGATAAGTTTTATTCCCTATGATGGATTCATAATAACTGGTATAACTCTGTCGTCCTGGTGGCATATAAAAATGTAGGACTTACTAGCAGGACTTTGTTTATTACAGAGTTTATCAGTGTAAGGCTCGGCGCTCAGTGATGCGATACGCTGACACTATATTTACCAGAATTTACCCGATGGCCACAAACTCTCAAATGGCCTCAATGAGGACAGTAAGCCGGCGGCTTGTCGAAGATCCACCCCCCCCCCCCACACACACATTTGCCTTGATCTTTTCCTGGTGGACTTTAAAACCTAACAGTTCAAACATTTCTGGCTTTGGCAGGTAAGCGGTTCCATGGGTTTATAACCCTGTGGATGAAAAGACTTATCCTTTTTCAATCCTACTTGAGAGTGCTAAGTAATAAAGGTTTTAAATTATAGCTTATATTATTATTATTACCAGTATTATCCTTGTTAAATTAGCAATTCAGGCTTCTCTCTGTTTAAATCCTTAAACATGCATATCATACACACCCCACACAATATCTTGTACTATTTACAAGTACAAAACATATCCCTAAATAATAATCGTGATCTAAAACTCTTCCTTGTTGTATGTAATAGAACCCATGAGCACCACACCAGAAATTATTCTCTTTGTTATTCCTAGTCAATATTCTAAGTGTTATAGTATATAGTTTATATTTTGGTATCATTCACCAGACACTTTATCAGTGGATATGTACATATAGACTATGTTTCTTCTGCAGCTTTATATTATTATACTGTACAGACTTTGGAGAATCTGACACTACATCGTTCACTAGTTATGATGACAATTTGGCAACTTTGATAAGTTTCACATCAGTTGAAGGTGTTGGTGGTATCCGTGATGCAGAACACGAGTATGCATTAGAAGTTAAGGTAATATATAAGGTGTTGTTTTAGCAAACAACACAGAAATCATCGATAGATACAGCGATAGCAGGCGGCATGACATCTGCGAGGCACTACACATCAAGAAGTCAACACCAGCAATCAAGAGCCAATTAATGCACAACTATATTCTACCCACTTCAAGACTCCGCTCCAATATAGAGCATCAAGAAATATGGGCCAATAAGCCCTCTGTAATTACTTCCATTCTTACCTTCAATACCCAGTATTTCGTGTTCTGTCTTGTGTTGAAAGTTTGTTTTCACCTCATCCAAAACTGTTGTAACATATCACCTCACCCAAATGCAGGTATAAAAAATCGAAGATGTTTAAGCTCTATTCAGTTATACATACATATATATATATATATATATATATATATATATATATATATATATATATATATGCGAACAAGCCTGAATGGTCCCCAGGACAATATGCAACTGAAAACTCACACCCCAGAAGTGACTCGAACCCATACTCCCAGGAGCAACGCAACTGGTATGTACAAGACGCCTTAATCCACTTGACCATCACGACCGGACAAAATGAGGTGATAGCCGAAGCTATTTGAACCACCCCACCGCCGGCACTCGGATGGTAATCTTGGGCATAGCATTTTACCAAATCACCTCATTCTTTGGGGCACACGTGAGGAACACAAATGCGAACAAGCCTGAATGGTCCCCAGGACAATATGCAACTGAAAACTCACACCCCAGAAGTGACTCGAACCCATACTCCCAGGAGCAACGCAACTGGTATATACAAGATTCGAGTTCGAGTCACTTCTGGGGTGTGAGTTTTCAGTTGCATATTGTCCTGGGGACCATATATAGAGAGATTGAGCCTGCTCTTCCCTACATCTTTACGTCGTTAAAGTACAAGATACTATATAGAAGATACGTCCACCAGTATCACCAAACGTTTTGCCCAGGAAGCAAATCGTACCATGCACACCCCGACACCCGGCTACAGCCGCCGTAACCAGCAAACTGCTCATACTCCGCCTGCCTGTTGCTGATTGGCTGGTGTCTCGCTGCACCTGCACTCACGCCACCACCGAGAGTCGATGTCTGAGCAGCAGCACGCCGTACTCGTCAGAATATCTCTGTGCTCCTTGGAGTTGACATCTCTCGCTAGTAGACTAAGCCTTGGCTTTCGTGTACTAAGGGAGGTGGCAGCTTGAAGCCTGTATTCCAGCACCTCACTTATTGATTTATATTGCTATCACTATTTTTGCATTCTTGTCTTAGAGTAACTTTTCATTGCCAGTTAATATTCATGTTATTTTGTTTGTTGGACCAGTGTTGAATTTTATGAGATTGTCTTTATTCATGTCTTGTTTTCTAGAGTAATTAAAATTTCATTGTTTATATACTTTGTGTTTGTGTGTCTTCCCATTACCTTACCACAGACGAAAGGACAAACTTCTCTCTTTTTTTTTTGTTATGTGACGAGGCCCTGCCCCCAGCGTTTGAAACAGCCGAACACCAACGCTTTACCGTCACAATATATATATATATATATATATATATATATATATATATATATATATATATATATATATATATATATATATATATATATATATATATATATATATGTCGTACCTAGTAGCCAGAACGCACTTCTTGGCCTACTATGCAAGGCCCGATTTGCCTAATAAGCCAAGTTTTCCTGAAATAATATATTTCTCTAATTTTTTTCTTATGAAATGATAAAGCTACCCATTCCTTATGTTTGAGGTCAATTATATTTTATTGGAGTTAAAATTAACGTAGATATATGACCGAACCTAACCAACCAACCTAACCTAACCTAACCTATCTCTATAGGTTAGGTTGGGTTAGGTAGCCGAAAAAGTTAGGTTAGGTTAGGTTAGGTAGGTTAGGTAGTCGAAAATTAATTAATTCATGAAAACTTGGCTTATTAGGCAAATCGGGCCTTGCATAGTAGGCAGAGAAGTGCGTTCTGGCTACTAGGTACGACATATATATATATATATTATATATATATATATATATATATATATATATATGTCGTACCTAATAGCCAGAACGCACATTTTGGCCTACTATGCAAGGCCCGATTTGCCTAATAAGCCAAGTTTTCCTGAATTAATATATTTTTCTCTAATTTTTTTCTTATTAAGTGATAAAGCTACCCATTTCATTATGTATGAGGTCAATTTTTTTTATTGGAGTTAAAATTAACGTAGATATATGAGCGATCCTAACCAACCCTAACTAACCTAACCTAACCTATCTTTATAGGTTAGGTTAGGTTAGGTAGCCGAAAAAGTTAGGTTAGGTTAGGTTAGGTAGGTTAGGTAGTCGAAAAACAATTAATTCATGAAAACTTGGCATATTAGGCAAATCTGGCCTTGCATAATTGGCTGTTGATTGCTGGCAATCAGCAATCAACAGCCAATTATTGCACAACTATATACTACCCACCTCAAGACTCCGCTCCAATATAGAAGCATCAAGAAATATGGACCAATAGGCTTTCTACAAACACTTCTATTCAATACCATTGTTTCTGTTCTGTCTTGTGTTGATACTTTTAATACCCTATTAATATCCCCTCATGTTCTGTCTTGTGTTAATGCCACATCACTATATGCCACATCATCCCTCCCACCTCACTCAAATGTAGATATAATATATATATATATATATATAGTTCAAAAGTTCAAATAAAGTAAATATATATGTGTACATACAAAAGAATGGGGGTGGTAGGAGAAGATGATATTAGTGTTCAGTGAGAAACCACAAGGTCTCCTCTGAATACTTTTTATTTTCTTCTCCGAGGCTATGGGTCCCCACATTGGCACCAGAGGTGGTACCCTCACAAACTTTTATATATATATATATATATATATATATTAGTAGGTAGTAACAGTTGATTGACAGTTGAGAGGCGGGCCAAAAGAGCCAAGCTCAACCCCCACACGAACAACTAGGTGAATAATACACACACACAGAGTGTGTGTAAGTGTGGCAGCTGGTAGCTGAGTGGACAGCAAGCTGGATACGTAGTCCTGTGGACCGGGGATCAATCCCCAGTGATGGCGGAAACAAATGGGCAGTTTCTTTCACCATGATGGTCCTGTTACCTAGCAGTAAATAGGCACCTGGTAGTTAGACAGCTGTTACGGGATACTTCATGGGGGCATGTTTGTGTGTGAAAAAAAAAATATCCGTTGTTTGATTGACAGTTGGGAGGCGGGCCGAAAGAGCCAGAGCCCAACCCCCGCATGCACAACTAGGTAAATACGGTGTATACCTTGTCTACAAAAGTTGTCCTAATACGAAGGTTCTAAATGTTTTACATTTTGATGCTTCCACGATGAAGATGAAGTTCCCAAGAGTGCCAACAAGTTCACAAACATTCCCTCTGTATCAGATGAGAGTTATTATGAGCACCACACCCGCCTGCGTCTATATCCCAGAGACAATGACCACACCCGCCTGCGTCTATATCCCAGAGACACTGACCACATCCGCCTGCGTCTATATCCCAGAGACAATGACCACATCCGCCTGCGTCTATATCCCAGAGTCAATGACCACATCCGCCTGCGTCTATATCCCAGAGACACTGACCACATCCGCCTGCGTCTATATCCAGAGTCAATGACCACACCGCCTGCGTCTATATCCCAGAGACACTGACCACATCCGCCTGCGTCTATATCCCAGAGTCAATGACCACATCCGCCTGCGTCTATATCCCAGAGTCAATGACCACATCCGCCTGCGTCTATATCCCAGAGTCAATGACCACATCCGCCTGCGTCTATATCCCAGAGTCAATGACCACATCCGCCTGCGTCTATATCCCAGAGTCAATGACCACATCCGCCTGCGTCTATATCCCAGAGTCAATGACCACATCCGCCTGCGTCTATATCCCAGAGACACTGACCTCACCCGCCTGCGTCTATATCCCAGAGTCAATGACCACATCCGCCTGCGTCTATATCCCAGAGTCAATGACCACATCCGCCTGCGTCTATATCCCAGAGACACTGACCTCACCCGCCTGCGTCTATATCCCAGAGACAATGACCACACCCGCCTGCGTCTATATCCCAGAGACAATGACCACACCCGCCTGCGTCTATATCCCAGAGACACTGACCTCACCCGCCTGCGTCTATATCCCAGAGACAATGACCACACCCGCCTGCGTCTATATCCCAGAGACACTGACCTCACCCGCCTGCGTCTATATCCCAGAGACAATGACCACACCCGCCTGCGTCTATATCCCAGAGACACTGACCACACCCGCCTGTGTCTATATCCCGGAGACAATGACCACACCTGCCTGCGTCTATATCCCAGAGACACTGACCACACCCGCCTGCGTCTATATCCCAGAGACAATGACCACACCCGCCTGCGTCTATATCCCAGAGACACTGACCACATCCGCCTGCGTCTATATCCCAGAGACAATGACCACATCCGCCTGCGTCTATATCCCAGAGTCAATGACCACATCCGCCTGCGTCTATATCCCAGAGACACTGACCACATCCGCCTGCTTCTATATCCCAGAGTCAATGACCACACCCGCCTGCGTCTATATCCCAGAGACACTGACCACATCCGCCTGCGTCTATATCCCAGAGTCAATGACCACATCCGCCTGCGTCTATATCCCAGAGTCAATGACCACATCCGCCTGCGTCTATATCCCAGAGTCAATGACCACATCCGCCTGCGTCTATATCCCAGAGTCAATGACCACATCCGCCTGCGTCTATATCCCAGAGTCAATGACCACATCCGCCTGCGTCTATATCCCAGAGTCAATGACCACATCCGCCTGCGTCTATATCCCAGAGACACTGACCTCACCCGCCTGCGTCTATATCCCAGAGTCAATGACCACATCCGCCTGCGTCTATATCCCAGAGTCAATGACCACATCCGCCTGCGTCTATATCCCAGAGACACTGACCTCACCCGCCTGCGTCTATATCCCAGAGACAATGACCACACCCGCCTGCGTCTATATCCCAGAGACAATGACCACACCCGCCTGCGTCTATATCCCAGAGACACTGACCTCACCCGCCTGCGTCTATATCCCAGAGACAATGACCACACCCGCCTGCGTCTATATCCCAGAGACACTGACCTCACCCGCTTGCGTCTATATCCCAGAGACAATGACCACACCCGCCTGCGTCTATATCCCAGAGACACTGACCACACCCGCCTGTGTCTATATCCCGGAGACAATGACCACACCTGCCTGCGTCTATATCCCAGAGACACTGACCACACCCGCCTGCGTCTATATCCCAGAGACAATGACCACATCCGCCTGCGTCTATATCCCAGAGACACTGACTTCACCCGCCTGCGTCTATATCCCAGAGACACTGACCACACCCGCCTGCGTCTATATCCCAGAGACAATGACCACATCCGCCTGCGTCTATATCCCAGAGACACTGACTTCACCCGCCTGCGTCTATATCCCAGAGACACTGACCACACCCGCCTGCGTCTATATCCCGGAGACAATGACCACACCCGCCTGTGTCTATTTCCCAGAGACACTGACCACACCCGCCTGCGTCTATATCCCAGAGACACTGACCACACCCGCCTGCGTCTATATCCCAGAGACACTGACCACACCCGCCTGCGTCTATATCCCAGAAACACTTTGAGAACCTTTTGGTTGAACGAATGAATTTTGAACCCCACTTAAGGAGAAACAGGAAGGGAGGAAATCCTCTCATAATTTCCATCCCCAGCGAGTTGAAAATCCCTCCACCCAAAGTTATGAGGGCCGTGGCCTTATCTCCCACTGGGGCTCACCTGATTGCCCAGAGATACGCTCTTCTGATAAGCGGACGCGTAATTCAGAATTCCTGGGCATTTCCTACTACAATTTACCATTTGGTTGTGATGGATTTCGGGAAATTATTTTCGAGGCGAAATTGGCTGCTTGAATAATCGCGCAACTCTGTGAGTGTTGAATTATAGACGCAGCAAATTCTAATTACAATTTGGTTTTCTAGTTTAATTTGTTGATGAATTTCTTTTTATGATATTTTTGCATGCAATGAAGACTAATAGATAGATGAATCGTTTGTTGATTGGTTGGATGGTTTTTCGATTAGTTCCATGGTTAACGGTTGGTTGGTCAATTAGTCGCTTGATTCATAAGTTGATTGATTGATTGATTGATTGATTGATTGATTGACTGATTGATTGATTGATTGATTGATTGACTGATTGATTGATTGATTGATTGAATGATTGATTTATTTATTCATTCATTCATTCATTCATTCATTCATTCATTCATTCATTCATTCATTCATTGAGTGGTCCATTAGTTAGGTGTTTGACTACTTGTTTGACTGACCGGTTGAGTGGTTGGCTTGTCGGCTGGTACAGCCCTTTCTCGAGCAGGTCCGTAATAAATGCCTCTGTTTTGCACAGTAGACACAACCATCTGAGCCCATGGTTAACCTTTCTAGGCCGAGGCATAGCAAACGTCAGCTTTACGAGGCTTTAATGTTCACAAATACGTGGCATTTTTAACGAACTCATTAATTCTGTAAAAAATATGATGCATTGGACGACAGGGCAGGTTGTGTGACACCGGACTCCCAGTCACTGTGACACCGGACTCCCAGTCACTGTGACACCCGACTCCCAGTCACTGTGACACCGGACTCCCAGTCACTGTGACACCCGACTCCCAGTCACTGTGACACCGTACTCCCAGTCACTGTGACACCGGACTCCCAGTCATTGTGACACCGGACTCCCAGTCACTGTGATACCGGACTCCCAGTCATTGTGACACCGGACTCCCAGTCATTGTGACACCGGACTCCCAGTCATTGTGACACCGGACTCCCAGTCATTGTGACACCGGACTCCCAGTCACTGTGACACCGGACTCCCAGTCATTGTGACACCGGACTCCCAGTCATTGTGATGACACCGGACTCCCACACCGGACTCCCAGTCACTGTGACACCGGACTCCCAGTCATTGTTACACCGGACTCCCAGTCATTGTGACACCGGACTCCCAGTCACTGTGATACCGGACTCCCAGTCATTGTGACACCGGACTCCCAGTCACTGTGACACCGGACTCCCAGTCACTGTGACACCGGACTCCCAGTCACTGTGATACCGGACTCCCAGTCATTGTGACACCGGACTCCCAGTCACTGTGACACCGGACTCCCAGTCATTGTGACACCGGACTCCCAGTCATTGTGACACCGGACTCCCAGTCACTGTGATACCGGACTCCCAGTCATTGTGACACCGGACTCCCAGTCATTGTGACACCGGACTCCCAGTCACTGTGACACCGGACTCCCAGTCACTGTGACACCGGACTCCCAGTCACTGTGACACCGGACTCCCAGTCACTGTGACACCTCATCACTCAACCTTCCCCTCCGCGACTCCTCGTTACTTCAACATTCCAGAAGGTGCGCTGCTTGTCTCAACGTGATGAAGAGGTCGTTACCTGTCCCATAAGACATGGAGCGTACACGTCTTACCTATTATGGACGTCCCAACAAGATCACTTTCTTGCTGAGGCCAGCCGCCCGGGGGTCTTAGTGGCGGCGTCCTCGAGAGCCCAGGGCACCCTTGAGGCACCAGGCATTGATACTGGACGTGGACATATTTATAACTTGAATCATTCTGCAGATTTCAGTGTTTTACTACGTTTCTCAATCAGAAATTTTTGTGCATGTTTCAATATTTTGTCTTCATTTATACTGCAGAGATATAAATGAGACATTGGACTACCAGAGACACTCCAGTAGCGCAATGGTTTGCATTCAGTTCGCAACCGAAATAGGTTCCATGTTCGTTTTTTGCGGTTAAGCGGAGACGTTTCATAACATTTTCTTTCGCATGATGTATATGTTAATATACTACTAGCTGTACCCGGCCACGTGGTGCTGTAGCTCAGAAAGGTATGTGCATTGCTGAACCACAGCAACCCTCCAATGTCCCCCCCCCATCCACCCTGCCACTCCCCCCTCCACCTTCCCCTCTTCTTCCCAACCATTCACCTCTCCCCCATCCCGTCGTTCTCCCCACCATTCTTCCCTTCCCCGTCCCCTCGACCATCCCACACTCCCCCGTCCCCTCATCCTCCCAACCATTCCCCACTCCTCTTCCCCTCGTCCTCCCCATCATCACCCCACTCCCCTGTCCCCTCGTCCTCATCTCCATCCCCCACTCCCCCGTCCCCTCGTTCTCCCCACCATTGCCCCCTCCCCCATCCCCTTGTCCTGCCCACCATCCCTCACTCTCGTCCTCCCCACCATTCCCTACTCCCTCGTCCGATGCGTTCCCAAATGATCTGAAGTTCCGATCACTGAAAAATAAGAAGAACAGTTAAAAAAAAAAACGAAATAAAAAACAAAGAAAAAATAAAGAAATAAACTATACTCACGAAATGAACGGTATAGTAAACAACACAGCTCAATTCCAACGCAATGTCACACAAAATAATTAAATCAAAATGAAAATAAATTAAAATCTATGAAAATTCAATTTATCAATGCAATCTGAAACATTGAAATGGAATCGTAACATATTTAGTATAGTGTGTGTGTGTTTTGCTTTTACGTGCAACAGATGGCGCTGTTCTTCAAGAAAGCATGTTTTTATCTGTCACAAGTTTGGCATTTATATAGTTGGTATATAAAACGACATGCGTATTTGAATAGAATGTTGCTTAAAAATTTCAAAGCAATTGGTGAAGAACTCTCGGAGATTACAGCTTGTGTTGCTTTTACGTGCAACAGATGGCAATATTTAAAAAAAAACATGTTTTTACCTGTCATAGGTGTGGCATGTATATAATAGGTATATAAAAGCACGCATGTATTCGAATGCAATGTTGTGTCAAAATTTCAAAGCAATCGGTAAAGAGATTTCGAAGGTTTCCCTCACATGAAAACTCAAAAGAAAAACAGTTTCTCAAAAAAACTATTTTTATCCCTGACAGACGTGACGCCTATATAGTAGGTATATAAAAACACGCTCGTATGTAAATGGAACGTTGTATCAAAATTCCAAAGCAATCGGTGAAGAACTTTCGGTGATTAGTGATTTTGAACAAACAAACATTTACATTTTTATTTATATAGATTAAATAGGTCCCTTGAAGTTATAGTTTGTAGACAACTGGAGATGGTCAGCAGTTGGCCTTGAGGCACCTCAATAGGCCTAACAGGTTTCATGTTAGGCCTACGTCAATGGGAATGATAATTAATAAAACATTGTCAATGGGCGACTGAACGCCAAACGATGATCGTGCAGGTGTATGGTGCTGTTAAGGACTGGTGCGGCGGTAAAGCACTCACCTAGCTGTATTCATCTGCTTTTGCCTAGTTGGAAACTTCAGCTCTTTGGTCCATCCTCGCAGCATTAAATTATCTTGTAGTTTTTATGTATACTTGCCACTTATAACAAACAATTATTAGTACAGCCCTTGACATGATTTTACTGTATGAAGTCTGGCTCCACCACTTCTCTACTTAGCGCATTCCAATTGTTCACTACTGTGACACTGGAGGATAGAGCGGTCTCGCTCCTACAGGTCGGCGTTCACTCCTCAACCGTCCAAGTGGCTGAGCACCCTTCCTTTCATCCTTCCTATCCCAAATCCTTTCCATCATATTCCGACGAGAAAAGCTTTCAGAGTACTTTATGAAGATGTGAGGAAACCAAATATTCCGAGGCGACTATTTTGTTTCCACTGTGAGTCATCAAAAGGAAGTTTGAGTATTTTTCTTCCTTGGAATTTAAAAGTGAGTCATATTCACTTTATTTTGTGCTGCTGTGCGATGCTCTACATCACAAAGTAGATTAGCTTAGGAGGAGATAGTAATCTTGTGATCGACTTTGTCAATCTTTTTCACGCATCTTCTTTAAGTCGAGGAGTTTTTCAACTAAGGTCGCATCGATTACATGCAATTCAAGGAGACACTCATCAGGATGCAATTGACAGAATGAGTTATGTGAAAGTCAGGAAGGATATCTTTTATACGTGAATTCGAGGAGGCTTTTTCCCACGTGGATGACTTGACAATGATACCCATATGGACTCCTAGTCAATTAATTTTGCTAATGTCCTCCAAGACAAAATCCAGGGACCCACTTGGATTCTACTCGGAACGTACTATATATAAATATATTTAAAACAATCAAGAATTACTAATGTATTGCTATATTCATACAAAGCTGCCAATAACATTAAAATGCTTTAGCTTTCAAAAGTTTAAATCCCATTTAAAATCAATTAATCCTAGGCAATTTGGTTGACATGAAAACTCAGTTATTCGATGAGAATATTCCCATCTGCATGCATGTACCTGTGATCCGATTTACCCTCGTGGGCCGCTTCTGTCCGCTCTCCTCCCGTGCCTGTCATCTGCTGACTTTACACGCAATGTAAAACATTGCGTAAAAAAACATATATATATATATATATATATATAAAACATATATTTATATATATATAAAACAAATATATATATATATATATATATATATATATATATATATATATATATATAGATAGAATATAGATATATATATTTATATATATAAGGCCCGATATATATAATATATATATATATATATATATATATATATATATATATATGTCG